TGGCAGGCGAGCCTAAGTGTTGTCTGAATTGCTCAGGCGAGCTTGGCGAATAGGCGGGGTCAACTGGCAGACCCCTTAAGCGTGTGAGCTGAATCATGTTGGCAAACTTAGTTCATGCAAGCGAACTTCCTGTAGGTGAGCTTGTCTCGTGTGGGCGAGCGAAGCATTCAGGCGAGCTCGACTCGTGCGAGCGAGTCGAGAAATCAGGCGAGCTTGACTCATGCGAGCGAGTCAAGCAATCGAGCGAGCTTGACTCATGCGAGCGAGTCAAGCAATCAGGTGAGCTTGACTCGTGTGGGCGAGTCAAACAAACATGCGAGTTTGACTCGTGCTGACGAGTCAAACAAACAAGAGAGCTTGACTCGTGCTGGCGAGTCAAACAAATAGGTGAGCATTCACTTGACCTCTTGAATGCAGGCGAGCTTAGCTTGGTCTTCTGAATGTAGGCGAGCTTTACTTGCTTTGAGCACGCAGGCGAACCCAAACAGGCGATTTTTGAGTTCTCTTGTGTAAAGGTAATTTTTATTACCTACATTAACATGTACGGATTACAGGTAACTGTTATACGTGATACTTAACTAGAATAGTTTATAGTTAATATGTACCTATAATAAGTAACATATGCATACATGTATACATATAAAGTTATAATTAATAGGTACATGGCAAATTTAATATGTAATTGTAATACTTTATAGAAACATGTTATTTGGAGTAGTATCTCCTCTTCGAGCTTGTTGTCATCCCCAGCTTGATTTTTTGGAGTAGTATGTTAAGTGGGTATATGATATGCGACGGTTTAGAAATTGCTTGTAATTTGTTTGATGAAACACGAAAGAGAAATTTGTGAGGTCTCAGCAAGTTTAAAGCTTTGATTGGAAGCAAGTTTAATTTTTGTAATGCACAACTGTATTGAATTAATATTTTATGGTTCATGCTAATGCTATGCAAGTTATCTTACCATTTAAATGCAAAGAAGAGTACAAAGCTCCGATTCTGAATCTTAGTTATATTGTCTTCTTTTGCTTAAAGATGAACATAATCTGCTTGTAGAATCATTTTAGTACTGGGTATAATTAATAGATACTGGCTAGCGGATATAATTAATATGTATTTGGTATAACTACCAAGTAAATTGTATAGTTAATAAGTACTGACTAAAGTTAATAGATATTAGATGCAGTTAACATGTAATAAATAAAGTTAGCAGGTATCAAACATAGTTAACACGTACTGGTTATGAGGACACAAAACATAGCAAATGAGGCTAATGGACAATCATCTCAATTGAGTTCTACTTCAATTTTGTTTTATTTGTATATACATAAACAATTATTTGATTTTCATAATGAGATTAACCTATGTTTTGACCATTGACTTCAGCATACGCCAAGTTCTCTGGTTAAAAGCAAAACAACAAACACGTTATGTGCGGTTCTAAAAGAACACAATCGTAACACATAACGACCAAATTTGCATCAACAAAAAGTATATCTTTTCATTTAAATGCAAAGAAGAGTATAAAAGTTCTGATTTTGAATGCACAATTGTGATTAATTAGATAATCCATTCCTTTTTTAGCCAAACAAAGATGAGAAAAATTACTTAAAGCAAAAAATATTGACTATATTCAATACTTGCTAATTCTAGCTCATAATTATTAACTTTTAGTAAGTACTTGTTAACTGTATTATGTACCAGTTAGTTTTAATCAATATTTGTTAACTATACCAAGAATCTGTTAACTTTAGCCATGACACATTAACTATATCTAGTAACCGTTAACTTTAGCCAATAGGTGTTAAGTATATCAAATATCGGTTAATATGTACTGACTAAAGTTGAAAAGTATTGGACATACTTGAATGTATTAGCGAAATATGTACTCAATATAGTTAATATGTACTGACCAAAGCTAAAAGGCAATGAACATAATTAACTTGTACGTGCTAAACTTAACATGTAGTAAATATAGTTAATATATTCTAGATAAAGCTAACATGTATTAAATATAATTAACGGCCAATGAGTATGATTAAACAATTTAATGCTTCTTAAGAGCCAATTTTCAAATTTATGTACGACAGCTTTGATGTTTACATCACACAACCATACAACAATATGTCTATTATATTTTCTTTGCACATAACTTGTTATTATTACATACTCTCCCTCGATCCATGATCACTCTCTCTGTAATATACTCCTTTATCCTTGAGCTTTGGCCATGGTTATCAACTCTTGGCAAAACACAAATTTATAATAAGTACAAAAGAATCATCATTTTATTCTTAAATCTCAAGCAAAAAAGTGAAATATTAAACAAACTGATGCTCCCATGATGAAGGAAAAGACCAAAGAATAAATAATACTAAAATTAAAAGTTAGAATTACAAATTCTCTTCCCCCTCAAATTACAAAGATGGTTAATAAACCATGAACTCTGCAATACTAACTTGCAAATCGTTGACATGAACTAGCGTGAATGCTAAATTTCGCCTCTTCATAAGCTCCTTTCCGAACACTTTAATCAGATACATGCCTAAATCCTCAATCAAATTCATATGCAAATTCAAAGCCCTCTATCTCTACTTCTCCATGCTTCATACCCAAAACCAAACCTAAATCCAAACCGATCCAATAGCTTATCCTCAAAGCCTCTCTTCCTCCTTCTCCTCCCTCTTCTCCAACAAACTCATTCTCCCTAAACAGGCTTCACTTCCCTTATCGCTAGCAAGGAGCAGGAGGAGCAGCGTTGGCACATGCGATAGAGCTAGGGGAGGAGGACGTAAGTTCGAGGTGTTGGACCTTATATTAAGATATGAGTATGTGCTTTTTTATGATGGGGAGAGTAGTAGGAGAGGAAGGAGGAGCATCTATGAAGTGGGTTGAGAGAGAGAGAGAGAGAGAGAGAGAGAGAGAGAGAGAGAGAGAGAGAGAGAGA